GAGTTTTTAGTTTATTCACTATATACCCCTAAATTTTTTAAATTTATCATATACCTCCGAGTTTTCACAAAAATACACCATATACCCTTGATGACTAATGATTAGGGGTATTAATTCGGTCTTCCAGTTCGTTTTGACCTCGGTTTGAATCAGTTTCGGTTTGAAGCGGTTCGGGTTGAAATGGTTTTATTTAGCTAGCGGGTCGGTTCGGATCGGTTTTGATTAATAACGATTCAGTTCGGTTTCGGTTTATTTTGGTGTAGTTGGAGTTCGGTTTGGATCAACGACGGTTCGGTTTATAAACGGTTTGGTTCATTATCGGGTCGGTTTAAAACGAGCCACTTCAGGGGCGGGTTTACCCGAGTCAACCGTGGTTCGGTTTATAAACGGTTTGGTTCATTATCGGACCGGTTTGAAACGAGGCGGTTCAGAGGGCGGGTCTACTCGGGTCAACGACGGTTCGCTTTATAAACGGTTCGGGTTATTATCGGATCGGTTTGAAACGGGGTGGTTCAGGGGCGGGTTTATCCGGGTCAATGTCGGTTCGGGTTATAAACGGTTCGAGTCATTATCGGATCGGTTTGAAACGGGTCGGTTCAGGGTCGTCTTTACCCGGGTCGGTTTGGTTCATACCGGTGTGGGTCATTATCAAATGGTTTGAAATGGGTCGGTTTAGAGGCGGGTTTACCCGGTTCAATGTCGGTTTGGTTCATATCGGATTATATACAATTACACAAATCCTTAATTATTCAATTATTCTATATCATGTTAATATGTTATATTTCAAGTTTGGTTATACTCTTGTTGCTGTTTATTATATATTAATATATTATCATATTAGTATATTAGTTTATTACAAATTTATAAGTTATTAATGTATTATTGTTTCATTATCAATTATTATCAGGCTATCAGCTTCTTGTCTGATTGTTTTAGAGATTGTGTCATGACCATGATTTGTTGAGTTGCTACTTTCAATACAAGAAATCGATTCACACATCGGATTATACACAATTACAAAAATCCTCATTTGTTCTATATCATGTTATTATGTTATGCTTTAAGTTTGGTTACACTCTTGCTGTTGTTTATTAGATACGGAGTATTAGTTTATTACAAATTTATAAGGTATTAATGTATTATCATTTCATTATCAAATATTATCAAGCTATCAGCTTCTTGTTTTGATTGTTTTAAATATCGCGTCATGACCATGATTTGATGAATTGATACTTTGAATACGATAAATCAATAATTGAGGAAATATAAATAAGTATTTAATTAGATCATCATGAAGTGTTTTAAGAGTTAATAATCAGATATGTTTATCGATTATCTGTACATAACTACATACCAATGATAGTATGATACCAATGGTACCTTACATTATTATTTATTACATATAAAGATATACATATACTGATACACATTAACTATGTCATATTGAATCAATTTCAATTTTCAAACATTTGCGTTTTTTAAAATTTATACGTTACATAAGGTTAAAAAGGTTAAATGGATTAGTTTGTTAGTTTACTAGATGGAAGCCCGTGCGATGCACGGTTTTTTATACATAAATCTCATGAAAAAGATTTTTTTCTTAATTAAACCCTATAATTTTTTTATTATTTTGCTTGTTAGAAAACGGATAATTTGTTTTATTTTTATGCAACTTATAATGCAACCTTAATTTACTAATATTAGTTATATGAAAATTATAAGTATGATAGATATTAGAATAAAATCATAATCCTGTTCGTATTTTTTTAACCTGTGATTCGTTTGTATAACGAAAACACGTTGTTCCACTATACATATATAGTTATAGAATTACTATTTTTCTTTCACAAACAATAACTTAGACCACCATTATTCTTTTACTCCGTATCAACTTTATACAATGAAAAATTAATAAAGTAAACCCAAAACTATAGGGTTAAAATAAAGACGGTGGGAGTTATAGTAAAAGATATGACTTTATAATTTTTAAATAGTTAAATGAAATATATATATACTACCAAGAGTGTTGCATTACTAAAATTAATCTAATTGAATAAAATTAAATCTTTATAATGAAATTTCATTATCATATGTCTTAATAATAGAGTTATATGTATACACTACTACAATGACTTTTACAATAATAATATAGATATTCTACCAGAAACTATAATACACAAAAAATAAAAATTATCAGAGACTTCTCTTACAATCTTTAATTTTTTTTCCCTACTATTGTAACATTATAGTTGACTTAGGGTCTGTTCTAACTTACTGAACTGAGCTGAGGTGAACTGAACTGATTGAAGCTGAACTGAACTGAATATTTTATGAACAGAACTGAGAATAAGCTGAAGAGAACAGACCCTTACTTTTCCAATAATTTCTTTCAATTGGCGCATGGACATAATCCCTTCAAACACAGAATAATTAATATTAAGTTACAATTAAGTTGTTTAACAAAATTTAATACGATAAGTAACATAATTAGATTAGATACAATAAAACAAAACATACATCTTATAAAATAATGAATAACAATCAATTTATTTTGTTTACCATCAAAAAGCCTTGATATACTTACATTATTTCCAATATTTTTTGTTAATCAACGAATACCTGAAAAAAATTCACACCGTGAAAAAGTGTAGATAAATAATATTCACATGTTTGTGTTTTTGGTATAGTATATATATATATATATATATATATATATATATATATATATATATATATATATATTGTCTATTTACAATTGAATAAAAAATCAAAATTATATTTTTGAGAGGATGTATACAAATCTTTAATATCATCCTATCTTATATATTTGTGGAGTAGCAAATAAATCTCTTATAAAATTTTTATCTAATCATGAAATGGGTTGCTAGATAAGATAAAAATTGAACATTATTGTTTTTATTTATTTTTTATTTTTTAAGAATATTGATAAAGACTAAACATTATTGTTATTTTTTTTTTTTGAAGAATATTGATTTTTTTGAAATTTTTTTGAAGAATATTAGTTAATTATTAATAATTGATATTTCTTTTAATTTTTTTTTTAAAAAAATTGATTGAACGTTTTCTTAAAAAAAAATGAACATATATTTTCCTTTTTCAAATATTTAATTTTAAAGTGTTTGTATATAATAATTGTATAATTTATAGTTTTTTTTAATTTAAATCCTAATATCAAAAGATCAACTTTTAAAAACGATAATTTTTAGTTTTAAAATAATTTAAATAATAAATCATTATTCGTCGTTTTTACCTACGTGGAAAAATTTTTAAACTTCATTCATCACTTTTGCTTATGTGGCGAGTGAATTTTTTAATTCTAAAATAAAATACAAATCTAACTTTTAATTGGTTAAAATAATACCGTGCGATGCACGAATTGTCATACATATATCTCAAGAAAATATATTTTCCTATATACTCTAAGGGTTTTTTTTTATTAATTAATTATTTGATTTATTTTACAATTTAATAATTTCAGAAAAAAAAAATAATTTAATTAAAATGATATTGCCAATTACAAAAGTAAATATTATATTAATGTAATTTATAATGCCACTTAATTTATTGTTGTTTTGTATTTTATTCGTTGTTGTTGGTTATATGACAATAATATGATATCTTTGAAAAAAAAATGTAAATATGATATTTCATTGATTACATATTAGCATAAAATCTTTAATGTGAAAAGATAATAATTTATTATTTTTAAAATAATTTAAATCCTAAATCATTATTCGTAGAACAAAATCAAAAATAGAAATAAAATTATAATAATCAATTTTGAAAAAAATTGTAGAACAAAGTTGACTTTAATTAAGCCATGAACGTAATCACCCTGTGATTAAAAATAAAAAATTAAATTAATTTTATGACTTAATTAAGCTACCTAAATCACAAAAAATTTGTTTTAATCATAAAATTAATTGATAAAAACTAAAAGGTTTATTTAAAGATTTAATAAATGTAAACGATTTATAAAGATATAATACCTTCTCATCCAATAAGATTATCAAGCGAGAAACTCGTACTTTGATATTCCAAAATTTTTTGCTCGAATTTAATTTTGTGATTAAATTAGATCTGCATGTAAAAACAAAATTCAGTAAACAAAACATAAACATATAATCATTAAGTAACCCAAATAAACACAATTTAATCAATAACCACAAATATACATTTAAACATGGGTTTTTAAAATTAGGCTAAGAATTACCCAGCCATTGATGACCTAATAAAACTGACACAAATTAATGACACAAAATTTGCTTGGTTTGGTTTTGTATTGATACGAAATTTTGTTGGTGTGATATGATACATCAATTTATAATGGTTAATATCACAAATTTTAATTTAATTATAATTAAGAAATAATTTTTATTTCTTATCATAAACACTATCAAAATTTATCTTATAGTAGTAGGAATATAAATCCTATATCTAAAGATGATTAGTTTAAAAGATAACTTTTAGTTTTTTAAATAAATTAGATCCTAATAAATGAATATTCGTTGTTTTTACTTACGTGGCAAAACTCTTAAATCTCATTCGTCACTTTTACTCAGGTGGAAAACGAATTTATTAATTCTAAAATAAAATAGAAATCTAATTTTTAATTGGTTGAAATAATTCCTTTGCTTATGTGGCGCGCCGAATACTCTTAAAAAAATGTCTACTTTATTTATATATATTAAATTTAGATTATTACTCACACTCAAACAACCTGAAACGAAACCATTATACAGTACAACTAAACCTAGAGTATATGGTTCAGCGGCGCCTCTTCTTCTTCCCTCTCAATCTCTCAAGTCATTCCCGTTGGATTGTCTGTTCATCTATTTTGTGATTGTTCGTTCATCTAGCTTCAAACCAACAGCGACCATTTCAACCTTCAAACTCTTATCCCCAGTATTGTGGCCTTTTCCTGGAAAGTTTTTAGGTACGTGTCTGCAATTTGTTTTTTTTTTTTTTTTCATTTTTTTTCCGATTTTGGGTGGTGGGGGGTGGGTAAGGGTGGTTGTGGGTGGTACGTTGGGTGGTTAGTGGTGGGTTTTTTTGTTTCGTTTCCGATTTATGGTGGTGGGGCCGGCAGCGAAGCCACGTGTAGTCATAGTGGGTCACGGGACCACCACGCAAGATGTGGGTTCAAATCCCATTACTCACAATTTCTTTTTTTTTTGTTTTATAACCTCACTTTCAATTTTCGAGATTTAGAAATTAAAACTTAGAAGTCAGAACATTTCCCCCAAATTGTAATACCTTAAGTCTCTAACTCCCCTAAATCGGAATCCCCAGACCCCAGCCGCAGCCCCGCCGCCGTTCACCGGCCGGTTTTAAGCTCCGTACTCCGTCACTCCGTGTTCTCGCTGTCGCCGGTATAAGGTTCGTCCGTCAGGCGTCAGTCCGTGGCTCATACTTTGTGGAAATTCGCGTTTTTTTGAGGTTAGTTTTAATTTACATAATTACATTGCAATAAGATTATAGATTGATTAGATTCTATATCAGATTATCAGTACTTTGATGTATGTTGCAGACTTGCAGTTTAAATGTTTAATTATCAAAATTATCAGATTATCTGTATGAATTGTTTTTTTTTTTTTTTTTTTTTTTGGGTGGAATTTCTTGATTTTATATTGTGGGTGTTGCAGGAGAGCTGATAAATCATAAATGTGATAATTTGATTGTTTTCTGTATTATTTACTGGGCTCTGATTTAGCCGATTTAGAGCTTGAATGTTGTGATTTGTGAATGTGAGTTGGGGCCGGATATTTGACTATTTGAGCCCTATTATAGATTTATAGTATTATTTCTGTTTAATTGATAAATGATAATAGTTGTCCAACCTTCTTATTAGCTATTGAGAATGGTGATTTTGTTGTTCTGGGTTTGAAATTTAGTGGGGAATCGCTAATTTGGAGATTTGGGGTTGAAGGGTGGACTGAAATTGGGGTTAATGGGCGTTCTTTTGATGATTATTATTAGTTTTAATAACTTTGAGAGAACCCTTCTTGTATGATTTATCTAATTCAACCTTTAACTTTTTTATGTATTTTTTTTTTCATTATACAAGTTTTGACTATTTTTTGATACTTTATGCGGTCGATAGACGATGATGGGACAACCTATTAATCAAATCCCGGATCCGCTACTACTGGGGGTGGGTGACGGTGGTTGTGGGCGTTGGGTGGGTTAGTGGTGGGTTTTTTTGTTTTTTTTTTTTCGATTTATGGTGGTGGCTGGTGGGGGTGGGTGAGGGTGGTTGTGGGAGTTGGGTGGGTTAGTGGTGGGCTAATACCTTTTGGGGAAGTGCTGTTTAAATTATTAGTTTCTACACTTTTTTGATGTTGTTTGTGCTTCATTCGCATAATATGTTAGCCTGAATTTCTTTTACTGGTTTGTGGTTGTAACATGATGAAATGAGCTGATGCATGTATTGTATATTTGTATTGAGTTCTTTGTATTACCTACTTATTCAGTTTATTGTTCTGGCCAAAAGTTATATACACTGATGTGGATTTGCTCAGAGCTTTACATGCCGATTTTCATCAGAAATTACAAGATACCTTATAATCACTTAAAACACTGAACACATAAAGGAAATAACAAATACAGTAGCCTGACTTCTCTTCTCACACGCCTTCTTTTTCCTGTTTATCATCCTTATCTCCAGTCTAAGCAAGACCTATAGAGAATATCTCTGCTTCAAATGTAAACATATTGACCTCCTTAACAAAAGAGTGGAGTAGAGGGGATGATTAGGATGCTACTGCTTAAGAGAGTAATAGGGGAACATTATGGCAGCAAAATCCCAGGTAGTAAGTTGGGGTAAACCATAGAACTTCCCCAATCCCCACACACTGCTAAACTCACAGGAAAGGAAGATGTTGCATAAAGCCAGCCAGTATGTGAAACTCAAAGCAGCACAACACAGGAGAAAATAGTGAGTTAAAGTGCAAGACTAATACCCCAGATAGCCTGCCATGAGGGACATACCCCAAACCGTGCTCTCTCTCCCTTTCTTGTAGGGGCTGATATCATCTCCTGCCTGTATTCAACAGCAACAGAAAGGGTCATGACTCCCACAAAAAAGATTGGGGGAGGGGGGAGCGGTACTACCCAATCGTGATTGCCAATGATAGGACAACTTTCAACTAATACAGTTAAAGATTAATACTTCCTCCATTTTTTTTTAATTGTACCATTTTCCTTTTTGGAAAGTTGCATATTAATTGCACCATTTCCTTATTTGTTTTTTTTTTTTTAACTTTTTGGTTGTGTTCACACACATACCCAACTTACCCTTGTTCACATGTGATAAAAAACATTATTACCCCACCTTTTCTCTCTTTCGTCTATTTTTATCACATGGGCACTTTTGACATATTCCATCTTTTACATTTTTTCTTAAATTTTGTGCTCATACCAAGTGGTGCAATTAAAAAAAAATATGAAAGTATAAAGCAAGCATTTCCTTCTACAAGACATATTTATATTGAATATGAGCATTAGCACGCTACCACTACATGATTAGATGCTAACGCCTAAAATTCCAAGAAGAAATAATAGGGAAATAATCTATAAAGAATACTCAAGCTATAATGAACCACAAAACACCATTTCAAATGCATGAAGATGATCACAACAGCACTAACAATCACAATCTCAAGCTGCACAAAAATTTAAACAAAACCATAATACTAACCGGATACAGAATAAACACAGAACATCCAACAGTTACAAGGACAGCCCACAAATAATCGAGTCCCTTGTATCTTTTCTGCATGATTATAGAACCCCAAATCTGCAAATGCAAGGAAAGAGAGTGGATCAAACATCTAGCAAAGAAAGCTAATAAATAAGATATGCAGAAATATTGATAGCTTTGGCCCTTTAGATATTTTTTAAACAGGCTATTAACATTAGTCATTTTCCACCCTTCGAAATGGAAAGTGGCAAATTTAATAAGAGCATGTTAAATACGGGTCTAGGCCACACCTGCAACTAAGAGCAACTAAGAGAGAGAGTCCACTTTACAAGATCAAAGGAAGTTCCATCCCAAAAACAGAAAAGAAAAGAAGAAGAAAAAAAATTGCAGGTCACTAAAATTAACATGTTTAAAATTAAGGGCCTGAGAGAAAACACGGAGGTTGGTTTAAACTTACCATGACTGGTATCATTTTGGCACATTTTGCAAGAGTCTGGACGGGAAAACTGACATATTCAAGGGCCTGAAAGAAAACAAGAAGGTTGGTTTAAACTCCGATCCCAAACTTCCAGCATTAACAGATTGACCATGGTTTTCATCAAATTCACTTCTATCTCAGGAACATTTACTTACTTCATACTGGCATGTTGTGGTTAGAATATTAGTTACAGACACCAAGCAGTACTTGTAAACAGGGGCAACAGGATCCAAAGCTTTCTTACTCGCCTACAGAAACAAATCGACGAAACGCAAGAGTCAAAACCACGACACAATTAACGCATAATTTCATAAACAACACAAATACGTCAGCATTAGTTTATATGCAATGTCAAGTATATTAAAGCCAAATCAGTCACAACATATCTAGACGAATTCAATAACGTTTTTACCACTAAAGAAGCAGCGGATACAGCTGAGGTTGTAAGACGATTGCAGAAGACTAGAAATAGTGAGAATGTGAAAAATTCTTTGTTTTGCCCATAAGGAACTCTCATGAGCTTTTCCTGCAAGATCACAAAATCTTCAGCTCATTACACCACATAAATAAGCAAAACGTAACATTCTTCAACTCAATTACTAGTATTAAATACAATAAGCATATAATTCAACATTCATCACACCAAATGTTGCCTTCAAATCTTCAATCTTAATCATATCGCCGCAATTTTTGATGATTTCACATCAAAAACCGCTAATTTCTGCACAAATTAATCGTATTTCCACTATTCTGTACAGCTTAAATTTCACTAAACATCAGTTGCAAAGTTGATACAAATCAACAAATAAACTCATTTTAAATGTTCCACTATTATTACTGAGCTCGCAACTTATTATCATCCGTTTCAGTTAATCAACATTATTCAAAATAACATTAAAAACTGTGGGAAAATCGACACAGATAACAACAAAGTCATTACAGACAAAAATAAATGACAACAAAGACGAAAATCATCAAGTTTGATTGTTTTACAAATTAATCGGCCATAATTAGGGTTTAAATTACCTCTAAAACACCATAGATGACGAGAGTAACCATGATTCCGTCGACTGCAAAAGCTCCTTTTAATAGCTTGTTATCTTTCACAGCTACCACGGGAGAATCCATTGTTATGATATTTCTGTAAAATTAATCAATTCATCTTCAAAACAATCTCAAGCAATTTCGAAAACGAAGAAAATTTAACTCGATTTAGATCAGAGAAATTGAAAAACTTCGATTTTTGGCCAAAAATTTAAACCCTAAATCCCTAATTAGAAAATTTGTACGGGGTAATAAATAAACAATTAACCCTTTTCGAAGAAGAATCCCAGCTAAGAAAAAAAAATGTCTGTTTGTTTGCCACGTAGGATTTCAATTGACCAACGTGGACTCCAGATCGTTTTTTTTAGTTGGTACAATTTGGTTGCGTGTAGGGGTGAGCATTACCGGGTCCCCGGTATATTTCAGAGGATCCGGTCTCGGAACCGGTTGTACCGGGTAGCTAAATCTTAGACTTGGTCTCGAAATCGGTTGTACTGGGTAGTCAAATTTCGGAACTTGTTCCCGAAATGTTCGGAACTGGTTCCAAGACCGGTTACCCGGTTCTTTAACGGAGATACAAGTCAACAACTCAATGAACAAAGTTCCGAAAACAAAATAAGAGCATGTCCAATGTAATTTCAACAATAACCAAAGTAACATTTCAAGTGCAATTAATAGCAATCAATCCTCCACAAGAAAAGTCCCAACATGCAACAATATATTAAAATCAAATTAATCACAAAAATCATAACAAATATATGAAAAAAAAAATCATATACCTAAGAGAACCACCGGGAGAATTGACAAAAAGGCGAATATCCTTATCATACAACCAGAATTACGAGCTTGACGCTAGTTTTTCGAGTGTTACTCAGCGATGTTCTTTCAGGCAAGGGGGTGGGGATGTGAGTTTTCAGCAGGGAAGGGGACAAAGTGTGCGGCGGAGGAGGTAGGGTTAGCGGCGAAGGGAGAGGGTGAAGGGGGGAGAGAATACGGGGAGGGATAGGAAGAAGAAGAAGAGGAGGTTGAAGAAGTGTTGGTGAAGGAGATTGAATCCACTGAATGCCATTGATTTTGAGAGGAAAGGGAGGAGAGAGAAAGAGAGTGGATGCTTGGATGGGTTTAAGATCAGAGATTTAGAGTGGAGGAAGAGGAAAATAAGAAAATAAGGTTGAAGATGTGATTATTATGGTTTTAATTTATTGTTGCATGTTGGGATTTTTCTTGTGGAGGATTGATTACTGTTAATTGCACTTGAAATGTTGCTTTGGTTATTGTTGAAATTACATTAGACATACTCTTGTTTTGTTTTCGGAACTTTGTTCATTAAGTTGTTGACTTGTATCTCTGTTAAAGAACCGGGTACCCGGTCTTGGAACCAGTTCCGAACATTTCTGGAACAAGTTCCGAAATTTGACTACCCAGTACAACCGATTTCGAGACCTAGTTTAAGATTTAGCTACCCGGTACAACCGGTTCCGAGACCGGATCGGTAATGCTCAACCCTTCACGCAACCAAATTGTACCAACTAAGAAAACGATCTGGGGTCCACGTTGGTCAATTGAAATCCTACGTGGCAAACAAACAGGATTTTTTTTTCTCAGCTGGGTTTCTTCTTTGAAAAGGGTTAACTGTTTATTTATTAACCCATACAAATTTTCTAATTAGGGATTTAGGGTTTAAATTTTTGGCCAAAAATCGAAGTTTTTCAATTTCTTGGATCTAAATCGAGTTAAATTTTCTTCGTTTTCGAAATTGTTGGAGATTGTTTTGAAGATGAATTGATTAATTTTACAGAAATATCATAACAATGGATTCTCCCGTGGTAGCTGTGAAAGATAACAAGCTACTAAAAGGAGCTTTTGCAGTCGGCGGAATCATGGTTACTCTCGTCATCTATGGTGTTTTACAGGTAATTTAAACCCTAATTATGGCCGATTAATTTGTAAAACAATCAAACTTGATGATTTTCGTCTTTGTTGTTATTAATTTTTGTCTGTAATGACTTTGTTGTTATCTGTGTCGATTTTCCCACAATTTTTAATGTTATTTTGAATAATGTTGATTAACTGAAACGAATGATAATAAGTTGCGAGCTCCATTTAAAATGAGTTTATTTGTTGATTTGTATCAACTTTGCAACTGATGTTTAGTGAAATTTAAGCTGTAAAGAACAGTGGAAATACGATTAATTTGTGCAGAAATTAGCGGTTTTTGATGTGAAATCATCAAAAATTGCAGCGATATGATTAAGATTGAAGATTTGAAGGCAACATTTGGTGTGATGAATGTTGAATTATATGCTTATTGTATTTAATACTAGTAATTGAGTTGAAGAATGTTACGTTTTGCTTATTTATGTGGTGTAATGAGCTGAAGATTTTGTGATCTTGCAGGAAAAGCTCATGAGAGTTCCTTATGGGCAAAACAAAGAATTTTTCACATTCTCACTATTTCTAGTCTTCTGCAATCGTCTTACAACCTCAGCTGTATCCGCTGCTTCTTTAGTGGTAAAAACGTTATTGAATTCGTCTAGATATGTTGTGACTGATTTGGCTTTAATATACTTGACATTGCATATAAACTAATGCTGACGTATTTGTGTTGTTTATGAAATTATGCGTTAATTGTGTCGTGGTTTTGACTCTTGCGTTTCGTCGATTTGTTTCTGTAGGCGAGTAAGAAAGCTTTGGATCCTGTTGCCCCTGTTTACAAGTACTGCTTGGTGTCTGTAACTAATATTCTAACCACAACATGCCAGTATGAAGTAAGTAAATGTTCCTGAGATAGAAGTGAATTTGATGAAAACCATGGTCAATCTGTTAATGCTGGAAGTTTGGGATCGGAGTTTAAACCAACCTTCTTGTTTTCTTTCAGGCCCTTAAATATGTCAGTTTTCCCGTCCAGACTCTTGCAAAATGTGCCAAAATGATACCAGTCATGGTAAGTTTAAACCAACCTCCGTGTTTTCTCTCAGGCCCTTAATTTTAAACATGTTAATTTTAGTGACCTGCAATTTTTTTTTCTTCTTCTTTTCTTTTCTGTTTTTGGGATGGAACTTCCTTTGATCTTGTAAAGTGGACTCTCTCTCTTAGTTGCTCTTAGTTGCAGGTGTGGCCTAGACCCGTATTTAACATGCTCTTATTAAATTTGCCACTTTCCATTTCGAAGGGTGGAAAATGACTAATGTTAATAGCCTGTTTAAAAAATATCTAAAGGGCCAAAGCTATCAATATTTCTGCATATCTTATTTATTAGCTTTCTTTGCTAGATGTTTGATCCACTCTCTTTCCTTGCATTTGCAGATTTGGGGTTCTATAATCATGCAGAAAAGATACAAGGGACTCGATTATTTGTGGGCTGTCCTTGTAACTGTTGGATGTTCTGTGTTTATTCTGTATCCGGTTAGTATTATGGTTTTGTTTAAATTTTTGTGCAGCTTGAGATTGTGATTGTTAGTGCTGTTGTGATCATCTTCATGCATTTGAAATGGTGTTTTGTGGTTCATCATAGCTTGAGTATTCTTTATAGATTATTTCCCTATTATTTCTTCTTGGAATTTTAGGCGTTAGCATCTAATCATGTAGTGGTAGTGTGCTAATGCTCATATTCAATATAAATATGTCTTGTAGAAGGAAATGCTTGCTTTATACTTTCATATTTTTTTTTAATTGCACCACTTGGTATGAGCACAAAATTTAAGAAAAAATGTAAAAGATGGAATATGTCAAAAGTGCCCATGTGATAAAAATAGACGAAAGAGAGAAAAGGTGGGGTAATAATGTTTTTTATCACATGTGAACAAGGGTAAGTTGGGTATGTGTGTGAACACAACCAAAAAGTTAAAAAAAAAAAAACAAATAAGGAAATGGTGCAATTAATATGCAACTTTCCAAAAAGGAAAATGGTACAATTAAAAAAAAACGGAGGAAGTATTAATCTTTAACTGTATTAGTTGAAAGTTGTCCTATCATTGGCAATCACGATTGGGTAGTACCGCTCCCCCTCCCCCAATCTTTTTTGTGGGAGTCATGACCCTTTCTGTTGCTGTTGAATACAGGCAGGAGATGATATCAGCCCCTACAAGAAAGGGAGAGAGAGCACGGTTTGGGGTATGTCCCTCATGGCAGGCTATCTGGGGTATTAGTCTTGCACTTTAACTCACTATTTTCTCCTGTGTTGTGCTGCTTTGAGTTTCACATACTGGCTGGCTTTATGCAACATCTTCCTTTCCTGTGAGTTTAGCAGTGTGTGGGGATTGGGGAAGTTCTATGGTTTACCCCAACTTACTACCTGGGATTTTGCTGCCATAATGTTCCCCTATTACTCTCTTAAGCAGTAGCATCCTAATCATCCCCTCTACTCCACTCTTTTGTTGAGGAGGTCAATATGTTTACACTTGAAGCAGAGATATTCTCTATAGGTCTTGCTTAGACTGGAATACGAATAAAGTGAGGGAGATACAATGCTGAATTTTAAATGATATCATTTGCATCCTATATTTGAAAAAGGATAGCGTGTCAGAGTACTCTTTTTCTTTGCACTTGATCTGGGAATTAGCAACTATACAAGGCACTCTATTTCACCCTATGTGTCTGTGGACTTGTTTCGATCTTTGACAATTTGAGACATCTTGGGATTGTCATAACATTTTGATTATGTACTAATTTCCCTATCCTGATATAAAGTCTTATTTATTTGGTGAAATAGCATACTTTGCATTCTTCTTTCCTGACTTCAATGTCTCAACTAGCTTAAACGTCATAAATGTCATTGTTTCCTTGTGGTGCAGATTTGATGGCTTTACAAGCACATTCCAAGATAAATTATTCAAAGGTTACAATATGGAAATACACAACCAAATATTTTATACAACATTGTGCTCCTGTGTGCTAAGTTTGACCGGTAGGTATTTCATGCATTCCCATTTTGTCTATTGGTGCTATTCTGATGTGTGGGGATGGATATTCTTATTGAGTTTACATATGATGCATGCCATGTTACTGGTTCGCCTGACTTGTGTTGAAATTACTGAAACCAAAATCTTTAATACCTTTGATGTGTTTGCTTTGGGTTGGATTGATTTTATAAACACAATTACCTATGGAATGTGGACTTTTGCACATATTTTGATGAATTTGCTCTTTTGCTTGGCAGGACTTGTATTACAGGGGCAACTTCTAGCAGCTATAGATTTTATTCATAGACACAATGATTGTTTATACGATATTGTATTGCTTTCTATTGTAAGATTCATATCTTTTCTCTTAATCTATTATTCTAACAGTTCATATGCCAATCTTGGGAAACTCAATTTGCAACATGTCTTAATCTTCAATTTTCCATGTAAGTTGGTGGTGCATCATAGTAGCTTATATTGGAGCTTGTACAGGTAGCTACTGCTAGTCAGTTCTTCATTTCTTATACAATTCGGACCTTTGGTGCTCTCACTTTTGCGACCATAATGACTACAAGACAGGTGAGTTTTGCTCTACATTTTTCGTTTTTGTTTCTTTGTTATTGCTGCTACAATGAGTAACTTGCTGAAACAAGTGTCCTCTATAAATGCAGCTTATCAGCATCCTACTCTCATGCCTGTGGTTTGCTCATCCTTTAAGCCCATTACAATGGCTTGGAGCAGTAAGACATTTGACCTTTTGGTATTTTTGTCCAAAATTGCAGTGATATTGTTTAATAATGCATTATCCTCCGCCAGGTTATTGTATTCGGTTCACTATATGCGAAAAGCTTCTTGAGGGACAACACCCAAAAATCCCCCCCTCCAACAGACGAGCAAGATAAAGAATTGGCTCCACTAAAGGGCAACCCATAATTTGAAAGCAATTTTTTCCATCGTCGTAGTTTTGCCCCATGTTGAGGCTGCTAAGTGACCCCATTTTCTTAGACGTGATGTTGTAGAAGGGGATTTTGGCGATAACGGATAGATAATATTATAGTCTAGGGATTTTTATAGTGAAAACGGATAGTTAGTTTAATAGTCGTAGGGAACATGACCGGGTTGATAATTTGGCTTTTCTCTCCTATATTTTCAAACGGAAAGCTGAATAGGTTACGTTATTGTTAAGCAAGTCGGCAGTTCAGCATGTATTACATTGTAAAACTTATTAAAAAAAAAATTATTTTTGGCAATTCAGCTAATTTATGTGAAATATTCCAATACACTAAGTGTATATGTTAATCTTGATCTAACCTTGTGAGTTAGCATATTATCACGTGTTGACTATGCCATAGTCCTGCATTGTGAATCACTCGACAAGTGCCCTCAACTCAGGATTTTCCACAGCGGCACATCATGCCTTCAAAATGCTCTTCTTAACACACCTCCAAGGCTCCAAGCTCCAAGCAATGCCCCTTGAATGAACTAAGCTAGCCTCAGTGTCTGTGGTATGTGTGGATCCATGCAATGATGTACGAATGAAGGTTGAGTTGGAAGAGTACACAGGGGAATGCTTACTTGTGTTGAACTCTTTAATTAAAATCTACAAATGATACTTGACGAGGGTTTTAGTCTTGGGTATGTCTTCCATGGTATTTTTTTGTTTACCAAAGTAGACTAGTAATATTTAATTTCCTAAGTACATATAATCAAAAAGATGTTTTAAATTAATCTCGGGTTTTTTTCTTTGCATTTTATTCACCTGAGACCGAGGTATTTTAAATTTTTAATTGAGTTTAAGTATTCCTTATTATCCCTTATCTCTTAGGAAATCATGTTGGTTATTTACATTGTTATATAGACTAGAAAAAACAAGAAAAAAAACATGTATAAATTCTCATTGAACATTTAAAACAGAACCCATCAATGCCATCATGGTATTTTTTTTGTTTACAAAAGTAGACTAGTGATCTTTAATTTCCTAAGTACATATAATCAAAAAGATGTTTTAAATTAATCTTGGGTTTTTTTCTCTTCGTATTTTATTCAGTTGAGACCGAGGTATTTTAATTGAGTTTAAGTAATCCCTCTACGAGATTTCTATTATTCGATTCAGCTTGAAAAGAAAGATCAAGCCTATAAGAGCTCTTTTTATTATCCCTTGTCACTTAGAAAATCATGTTGGACATATACATTGTTATATAGAGTAAAAAAAACATGAAAGAACATGTATAAATTCTCATTGAACATTCAAAACAGAACCCATAATTAAATAAAATATCAAGCATCCTATATGCGAAATTCGCTTATTCAAATATGGTATCAATTTCTGGTAATTTAACTAAGCATTCATTATCTTAAAGTTGGAGGAGGGAAGAAAATTTCATCAGAAGTCCTTGTTGAGCGGAATTGCTGCTCGATCTCAGTAGGCACCTTGAAGGCGGCTTCCAGCACTTGTGGCGATAATGCCTTCCAGACTGAAATCTTCCCTGCTAAACAGGACTGCAAACACCGCGAAAAAGTATGTTAGAAGATCAATCTTTAGTCTTAATAACAAAAACCAAATACACCAATACATAACAAAGGAGTAGAGATGATAGAAAACCAAATATAGCTCAATTTTACTTCTTGAATTAATTAGTGATGAGCACATACAAATTATTTTGATTAATCTTCCTTAATTATCTAATTTGATATACAAAATTGCACTATTACTACCTTGGTGCATAAATAACACTAATAAACCTTTCTTGATTCAAGCTCAAGTAAATGAGTGAGTTTAAATAATAAACTAATTTGTTTGACTCAACTCCAATAATTAAATAGGTGAGAAATAAATCATGAACCATTCTCAATAATTCTAACTTTTACTCTATTCAATAATCATAAGCATTTCCTCAATTTAAACTAATTTCCTAAACTTCGTGCCAAAAGAAGTATAATGCTAAAAAAATGGAGTCACGTTGAATCTAATGAACATTTACACTTCATAGTTGAATGATTATTAAATCAAAATGTATCCAAAAAAGTCAATATGTATTCAGAAAATGTAAATGTATATATAACGTATAATGCCTTTATTTCAATCCTTTAATAGAAGACCATTCGCCTTCTCAAAATTTACATCTTAGACACCACACTTTTAAACCTTTACAGGTAAAATAAAAATAAAACATCAACAATTTCTCAATCATAACATTTTCCTTTTTTTTTTTAATGGAAAATAAAACCAAAACGACACACTGCAAACAGACAATAACATATCACGAAGTACAAAAGTATAATCCAATTATCAGCACTCAGGTGTAAGGGTATGATCTCTCTTAGAATCCTTGCAATAATCATAAACCAAGAAGTTTCTTTGGGCCCACTTCATCGCCGCGACTTGTTGTGGGCTGAGGTTATTGGGCCCAGAAGGTGACATTTTTGGAAGACGACATGATCCTTTAGGCCCACCAAATTCACAGCCCGCAATCTTGAACTTTCGGTATTGGCCCACAAACGGTTGATAATTGTAATTTGCTTTGATTTTACCATCTTCAGTGGCCCAAGATGAAGCATCCCAAATTGATCCATACATGTACATGGGCCTTTGTGGAAACGTGGCATCACTTTTTCTAGGGTACCTTCTTATAGGCACATCATCCACTAAGAATCTGCAACGTGGCCCATTAAATATCATTAATTTCCGCATTATTGTATAATAAAATAATATTAATAATAATACACTTTGACCGGCACATAGTTTTAAGCAAGTTAATTGACTTAATTAAAATAAGAGGTAAGTGGGGTAGTTAGAGTATTAAAAAATTATAAAAGAAAATTAGTAGGATTAGTAATTTATTGAAAATAATGAATGTGAGAGGAAAGAAGTAATAAAAATTCATAGTGGGTATTTCCAAGAAAAAAAAAAAGGAGTAGTAGGTTCAGCTGGGAGCTATGATAGGAGAGAGATATAATATTAAAATGTAGTTTTTTGTCAAAAAAAAAAAGTGTAACACTTATTAAAACACAACCGCATTTGGTAATTGTAACACTTATTAAAACACAAAGGGAGTAATAAGGATCTCGCTACAGAACGCTACGAGGTGTTAGATAACCCTTTAAAATAGTTCTTTAAATGATATTAATTTGGGCATAAATGTCAAAATCACGCGTCAATCGATGTAATTAATGTTTATTTCAACATAATATTCTATTTTTAGTTATCTTATCCAACGTTTTAAGCGTTCGTTAGCTTTTGCCTGATAATAATAGTAATAATAATAATAATACTTGTATTGATTTTTGATAATATAGGACAAATGTGATTATGCCATTTGTCATAGATATCAAAACTTTGATTTGTGACATCCTTATAATTATGGCCCGTTTATTATTTGGCTTAATTGGTCACTTTATAACATTCCTTTCATGTTTAGATAGGGCAATTCCATCCCTACATTTTACATCAAAGGGACCATTTAAGATACTTAGCTTAGGTTTCTATTTTGATGTGCTTTTGTAAATTTTCATGATGTTACATCATTTTCATCTGGAGGAGGTGGTGGAGGTGGATACCCTGATTAGGACCGTAGTCGACGGGTTGAGTTTTCATATTAGCAGAAAGGTAAGGGGAGGTGTTAGTGGCGGACCCAGGAATTTCCGATTGGTGAGTCACAATCGATAACCAAATATGTAAACAAATTTTTTTACCAAAATTCCCAGGAAAAAATATTTACAAAGATCATCCAAATAGAAAATTGACAAGATTACAATACTAACTAACAATTAACAAGCTTAAAATTGACAAAACTAAAATTAACAAACTAATAATTAACAAGCTAATAATTGACAACATGACAAGCTTAGCTCTCTAATAATTAACAAACTAATAATTGACAAGATTAAAATCTGTACAAGCATTAGGTTCACATTTCATCAAAAACCCAACAACATTAACAAAAGGTTCAAAGTTAGTATTTTTTTTAAAAAAATAACTTAGAAAATAATTTTTTTTTTTTTTTAAAAGAAATTTTTTAAAAGAAACTTAAAAAAAAAATTGGGCCCTGGTGATTTGACCCACTAGGCACAAGGCCAAGTCCGCCAATGGGAGGTGTTAGTAATGGAATAGGCATCTCGGTAGAAGTAGATGTGCACGAGTTTGAGGCGATAGAATTATACATACTAGTATCTTTATACTATCTCCATTTTTTATTATGTGCAACTTTGAGGAATATTTGTGAGACATAAAATATTCCAAAGTTGCACATAAAAAAAAACGGAGGTAGTATATATTTTGCAATAAAAGAAACCATAAATCGTAATAGTAATACAATAAAGTTCCTTAAAAAACAACAAAAAAAGGAATACGATAAAGTTAAAATTCTACTGTAGCTTATTTTAAAATGGAAATTTCATTTGTAATCACATGTTAGAAGCTTTTCTCTTACATGATGGATGTTAATAAAAGAAAACTTCTATGAATGTTATCAACTTGTTTTTATTGGTTAGCTTAATTGTGGTTGTATTAAAAATCTTAATTGGTTGTCAAACTCATATGTGATATTGTACCATAATTTTCCATTGGAAGAGTGTTGGAGTATACAAATATAGTCTACTAATTATTCATTTATTTGTCTGATAAAGCAAAGATCTTAAAAATTAACGAATCATTCAATTAAATTACTTTTTATTTCTCCACCAATAATAATAAGCCAAGCACTAGCTTAGCCATCTGTGATCAATAATCATTATTAACATCATTATCTTAATTTTAAATTGTTATTGATTGAACGTGATCTTTCCCAGAATAGTATCCACAATTATTGTTCATACATGACTTCATAATTACTCTTTCCTAAATCTTAAAACAATGCGAGTAAACAAAATTTTAAAATTTTATTTCACGACTTAATTTATATATATATTTTTTATTTTAACCATCAATTCTAATACGTAATATCTTAAATATGTTCTAGAAAAGCTTTTTTTTATTAAATTCAGGTCATCGCAAAAATAATAGGTCACATATGATCTAAATTAATTATTTATAAGGTATTCAACTAAAATATCAAAGCCATCCTTTACTCTTTTTCTCCACAATATATACCATTCCAATAGTTTTCCATTGAATTCTTTCTACCATATCGATGCTTGTTCCGTGTGAAAATTAAAATTACATATATGTATTGTAATTTTGAATGTACTTACTAGAATTATAGTGCATTCTATTAAACTTATTTTGACTCATTTCGAATAAAATAAAT